GGGGGGGGGGGGGGGGCACGCAGATGGACTTCTTAGCCGAATCATTTTTTTTGGCGTGACACCTTGTGTGTTTGCTGTAGGATAACATTAGCGGTATGTAAGCGGCACGTCCTGCTTGGGGCATTTCGACACGGGGCATGGCATGCATGTGTCAATCTCAAGACAACCGCAGGCCACAAAATCTCCCCCCTTTCGTGCTCACCTGTCGCAGGCCAAAGCTCTTCGTTCATGCCGTCGGAACCTCACAGACTCCAAGGCAGCAAACCCCGCTGTCTTTGTCCGTCCTGATCCTGTCACTCATTGCAGGTGCTGCCCTTGAAGCACAGGAGCGAAGTCAACGGGCCGTTTCCCGTTTCCGAAGAACCTTCGGACCACGTCATCCTTGCCGCTGAGTACAAGATAGACCGTCCCGTCGCTGCCGAAGCTTGAAACCGCTAAGCAGGCGTGGCGGAGTGTGTGCGCCTTTGGTTGGTTTTGGTACTTGTGTCCCGCTGGTTGGTCATGCGTGACGCGGTCATCCGGGATTTGTTTCGATTGCCGGAGATTCAAGGTGTAAAGCTGTAGAGTGTTCGTATGTGAGGAAAATAGACAACAATCCCGTCGTTTTTAAGCTGGAGAGTATCGTATCGCGCCGTTTTGCGAGATGCATGGAGTATTGCGTATGCCGGGATTGTTTTGGAGTTTGTTGTTGATGGTAACGGAATACGGTATGCACATATGCATGGATGGGTCGATTCTTGTAATTTTCCCTCGTGCTGTAGCTGTAGTAGAATGGGGCGAACCATGCTCGTCGCGCAACAAATATGCATATCTTGTCGATATTGTAGGAACTTTTTTTTTGTGTTCAAGTGGTGATACCGTGTTATTTCTTTAATGGGTTCTGCAGAGTGACGTAAGGTAGCTTTTTATCACATGTTGTGGGAAGCACAGGTCTGCTTAGTACCAGGTGCAAGGCTACCATGCTTTCGAGCTTCTTGCTTTTGCCTCCGTAGACCCCAGAGTCTTCGGTAGTTGTTCCCTACCGAATGCATACTACAAATGTGCTGGCTTCCCCTTTCCCGATCGGCGGTATACCCAACGGTTGCTGTATCTCAACGATGTGACAAGTAGAGCCACGCGCCATGCTCTAGGGCCAACCTTAAACAACACAATCGTCCCCCCTGTGGTTCAACCTGTTTTCGTATACACGTATACACCCTTTGGGTTGTCGGGCCAGGGTGAGTCAGACCATGCCTGCATGTGTAGTGACACTGTTTGGACAAAGCCAGCTACGGACGCATTGATTGCTTATCCCCTGTTTCGCGAAAAGAGTCCAACTCAGGCACCGCAGTGACCATCGTTGTGTGACCCCTGCTCGTAACCTCCCAAGTATCAGGGTGATTCAGCTTTGTACGGGCGCGATTTAGCCCGCTCCTTCCATCCAACGAAGACCGTGTTCATGTAGTCGCGGAATGTCCGTTGTACAAGGAGAGGGAAGTGTGTACGTGACAGCTGGGAAAAATAGATGGGACGTACAGGGAGATGTTTGAGGCATGGAATAGAGAGGAAAGGACGGTAGCTGTAGTGGGGTGTAGGAGGTGGATTGAAAAGGCGGGAAGGGATATCGTTAGGATAGACAGACTAGGGAAGACATTTTTGAGCCACCTTTGGCAAAGTAGAAAGGAACGATTGGCCATCGGTGATCGGTCCTGTGGGAACAATGCTCCGTCCTCTCGAGGACGCGTGGTCAATGGTCTATAACCGCGAAGGCATGCAAAACATAAGAGTACGCCCCCCCCCTTCCATCCAACTACTGTAATGCCAACGACACACAGATGGGGCTTATCTCAATCGAGAACAACATTAAGGGGTCACAAGGGAATATATACGCCGTTTGTGATTCCGCCAGGCGCGCTACAGTACTGCAATGAAACAAGTTCATGCGCGACACTTTTGTGTTTCTGCTCCCTCGCGTTGCCGTCACCGTTACTACTGTACATGCGCCAGCAGCGTCAAGGAGAAGGGTAAACCAATCAAATTAATAAGCGTGATAACACACACACACGCACACACACACACACGGAAGATCGACCGACGATCAGCATGACCAGTGGACTGAGACATGTGGCAACCACGCTGCAACAGCGGGAACAAGCCACATCAACAAAACATGCCCACCTAACCAACCAATCAGCCGAACTAGATAGACTACTCCCTGCTGAACTGAATTGAGAGGCAGCCGCGCAGCAGGCTGAAAAAAAATCGAACGGAAAGAATCGACTGGCAACATCAACAAAGAATGATGGCAATCGATATCATCGTTACATAACGCAGAGATGCCATCATCAACAACGAATGATAATGATGGTAACCGATATCATCGACGGGACCGGTCGATCGGCTCTTCCGCCGGAAACAGAGTGCCCAGCTCTACCAGTGTCTTCTCAGCATCCCTCAAAAACTGCAAGTCTTCGGGCAACGGCTGGGCCCCCCTGCCTCCCCCTCCGGCGCCCCCGCCGAACAGCGACAGGAGCCCTGCCGACCCGCCGCCGCCCCCGCTCCCCCCCTTCTCCAAGAACCGAAACGCCTTCCGGAACTCCTTCGGCGTTGCCGAGACGTCGTTGGCCAGATGGCAAGGAATGACCCTTTGGAAAGGCCATTTGGCTACTCTGTCGGCCCAATCGAGGACAGGCCCCGGATCCCGGTTCAGCAGGAGCACTTGCAGGATAGGCGCCACCAGCAGGCCGCCCTGTGCGGGCGGGAAAGCAGTGTACGAAACAAGCAAGCGCGTGGTTGTGTTGGTCGCTAGGTTTGTCGAGATGGATATCGACATTTATTGGTTGATACAGCGCGATCGTCGTATACTGTAACAGGTGTAGGCGACGTCAGTGGTAAAACCAGGGTACACAAGCTTCGCCTGGAAGAAAGATCAACCGACAGGTAGGGTGCTATCGAACCCCGACTGTCACGGGCAAGGAAATACAGCTAGCTCTCGACGACAAGTTTCCAGAACCACCATTTTCTGCGGCATCGGCAGCCTCTTTGGTCGTGGCGCAAGAACGAGCTCCACAAAATCGATGGCACACCCGTGCAGTCACCCGCACCTTCAAGGCAAGTGTAGTACGTACGTGGCGATATGCTCGCTGCTTACAGCTTGCCGCATATTTACTTTAGGTGAGGGTTCGCCGTTGTCGAGGTCGTGATCTACACCGGCGTGTACCACTCATGGTGCCTACCTTCATGGCAGAGAATGACTTCAGGTCATCGCTCGAGCTCCTCCACTCAAACGGGAAAAGTCCTCCCCACCCAAGCTGCGAGAGGGAGACGAGGGAACCAAACGGGGTGGGACGGGACGGGTTCGAAGAAGAAAGACAGCCCAGGTGACGGATTAGATAAGCCTGAGGTGACGCTATTATCGTTTGGTTTACATAACGACGCCGCCCGCTGCAATGTGTGCCACAGCCACATGGCAGCCCAGAATCATTGATGACATCATTAGTGGAACGTTGCAACCACGGCTGCGCCGCCGACGACGAAAGACACTGTCAGCCATGCTGTTGACGAAAAGTTAACCCTCGGCCACATACCTTGGCGGCCCAAACAGCGCGGATCCTAAGATTACGATTGAGTTACATTAGGCATAAGAGAAAGGGCCTATGCCACATCTTGATATTGCTGGGTGCCTCATACGGCATGAAAATGGCCCATCATCAACTCTTCAATCTTACCAGGTACTGACCGCACAGGGCTGCTATCGTCACGTCTTTCATCCTACTGTATTAGATATTTCATATGGCATGAAAGACAGAACTAATCATCACCTCTTTCATCTTGGATTGCGGCGCGTCGTCAAACAAGGCCTTCTTCAGCTCCACTACCTCCAGGCTGCTCGGCTGAAACGTCAAGGCGAACTGTCGCGGTAGAAGGCACGGAGCGAGGGAGAGCGCCGGGGGGGTACATAGCGTGTAGAAGTAGCGAAGCCGGATTTCTTCAAGACTGACCCATGGTGCGCATCCAACGCGAGCGACAGACTTCGTCATATTGAGCACGAAGACATGCTCATCATCAGACTCATGGTCTGACTCGCCCTTTACGCGAGTGATTGTTACTCACTAAAACAGAAAGTGCAACGAGAGACATCACCAGGTACGAAAGTCACCTCCAAATCAGCTCGACACGTGAAGTCGCCCTAAACAGCGGGGCTACATTCATCGCAAGCATCCGCGCCGTCAGCCTCGAGAGTAGGAAACCCGCGAGAGGAGCCATTTGACACTAAGGGGACGAACCCCGCATGGACCTCTCCCTACCTGCACTATCCTTCGCCAGCCCTTCAGGCGAACCTCCGGGGTGTCCTCGACCCTTTCTAAGGCGTTATCTCTAGCGTGGAACAGGAGGGGACGTGGGTCCTCGCAAACGATTTCCGGCACTTGGTCCTCTACCTTGACAACCATATCCGTCACGAGGAGAGTCTTGGTATCCTGCCGTACAAGGAAGCGCCGTGGTTTTCGTACGTTCTTACCCCCGGGCAGCGTTGAGGCACAAACAGCAGGCCATACAAGTTGATCGAGTGTACACAAAAGAGGCGCGTAATATATACACCTTGGTTTGGACACCAAACACAGGCTGGTGGTACACGCCACATGATGTTCAACTATTACATGATATTAAAGAGCTAAAATAAATAAAACAGCGTCCTCGATGTCCTGCAACAGCACCAAATGACGCGTCTCGAGGGGTAGATCGCCCCAAGGGCTTGGCCAATGAAACAGTGCGCCATTGAAACACCAACTATTGGGGTGGGTCGTAGGCGGAAAGCAAAACAGTCCGAAGGCATTGTGCAGCCCGGCATAGGAAGTCACCCCAACATGTTACCATCGTGAGCTACAAGTCGTGAGCTATGACCAACAACTTTCTCCATGTACCAACCATGGCACTGCTGTGCGCCGTGTATCCCAAAAACTAGTCTCCATAATGGGTCCCTGACTGACCTTGTGAAAAAAAGCTGTCTCTCCGTACCCCCCCGATCCGTCCTTGGAAAAGAAGGGGCCAAGCACCTGGTGGTCTAGATCGGCCCCCCAAGGGGCATCCTCCGACGACGCGGGGATCTCTTTCGTCGGTCGGCCTCCGAACCCCAACCAAGAGAGGGGTAAACCGATGGGGAAGCTGTGTGGGTGCAGCAGGCGGTGACAAGGGGAGGGGGTGAGAGTTTATATGTGTTGCCTGCTCGACCTTCGGCTGTGAGCAATGCGTCCGTCCTCTCAACAGAGTGAGTGTCCTTCGCCGCTTGAGACAGACACTCCACACGGGAGGGGTATGACGGGTGAGATGTGAACCGGTGTCCTTGTTTTCAACAAGATATCGATTATTTCGCACGGCAACTCATCGGTGTTTCCGGGTTGGATTTGGAGGAGGGATTGCGGCGAGGAATCGAGCAAGAAATCCGTGAGAGTCAGCCAGGCTCCTCATTAGCAGCATTACGGTACACGAGGTAGTTGAAACCCCAGCCGTGGCAACCAGTGACAAGATATTGTACGACCTGGTATTCTCTCAAGGAACCCGCAAATAACGTTGCTATCCACCGAGAAATTGCAGTTGCGCCAAACTTGGACGCTTGCCGTTTAAGGTACTTCATGGAGCCTGTACAGTACGGAACGCCAGCAGAAAGCAGAACCTAAACACAAAAACAGCAATGGTACCCGGATGCCGTGGTAGCTGACCCCAAAACACACACGGCAGTAGTGGTGCTCGGATCCAAACGCACCTGTATTGGCCGGGGGTGTACCAGACCCGCGCCTCAGAAAACCTCTGGGCGAACGGTCCGGCAAACACCTTGTGCTCCAAGCCAAGCGTGCCCAGCACGATGTGTCTCACGGGCCCGTGCTCGGCTTCCAGCTTGCGCATCATCGCCATGCACTCGCCCGTGGGAGCCACGGGGGCGTACACGAACAGCCCTCCCCCTTCCGACTTGTCAAGCTTGATGACCGTCATGCGGACGGGCACGATCACGTACAAAATGCCCTGCAGCTGGTCGAACGTCCAGACCTATTCAGGAGAGGACGGTCAGGTTGCAAGAATGGAGGGGGCGGTAGTAGTAGGATTATCCTATGCATACAATGTTGGCCAACGATACTCTACATAACTGGGAGCACGAACACCGCGCGCCCATCTGCGAACATAGTCGACGTACATTGTACTCATATCCCGGTACGCCCCGAAGTGGATGGCACCGGATGATCCCGCATAGTATTACCCGGGTGTGGTATGCACTAAGATGCATGGAAGTTTGTTGAGTTGTTGATAAAGAGAGAGAGAGAGAGAGAGAGAGAGAGAGAGGCAGGCAGACAGAAACAGGGAAGGAAGGACGCACAGAGAGAGGCCTCCCGCTGCTAATATCCTCGAAGAACACTCTTGTATGCACCTGCACCGCGAGAGTACAGTCGTACAGTACGGGCGCGAATAAAGAAAAAATAAAAAAGGCTCAACGTTTTACGACAGGTAAGAAACAATCACTTAGAGAAACCGCTCAATCTCGGCCACAACATAACAAACGTCCCGACAATAACCATGATCGTGTGATACCCCCAATACATCAGAAACAAAGGTCGCTGGGGGAGCGTGTCCAACAAGAAACTTCCCACTGCTGCTCCTTCCGTGCTCCCACGCCCTCCGTACCCGTAGCTCTACAGTGTTTTTTTTCGTGCGGGGAGAATTATTATTGTCGCGGCCCCCTCCGCCTCCGCACTATTATATAGCTACTCCGCGCCTCCGCGGGCTGCTTTACCCACTGCTGCATGAATATTTGGCATGTTGTATTCTTCGCCATAAATAAGAAAATATGAAGTAAAAGAATCAGGAGGATGCGACAGTCCGAAGGAACAAGAAATGCCTTTCAACAAAATAGGTGACTTCGGTTGACCCTTCGACCCAAAATAAGAGATTGAGCCTCAGCCCAATACTGACGTTTCCTATCTCCGGGCCCGTACTGAAGTCATATACTACACGGAAATGTTCGCCACCACCGCACAAACACACGCACATCAGCCGGAGGCATATCGATACACAATCCCACAAGACCCATGTCGGGGATTGTATTGCCTGCGGGCATAGAGGGATTCTCCGCCCTCCCTGAGAGCCTGTTCTAACGTTTAAACTTTGCACCGAAATTGAGGCCCTGCAAAAAATTAGTTTCGGGGGTGCCGGGGGCCAAAGACCTGAATGGTAAACAGGGCAAAACACGACGAGGGTTTCTCTGCCCGAAAAAGCGGGACTTCGGTATTGGGTGCAGCAAGAAACAATTGCAAATTGAAATGTTTTTTGCTGAATCGAAGTACCCGAGTTGCACTGCGCCCCTTTTGCACCCCCCGTGACGAGCTGAACTCGTGCTGGCGTTACCCCCGAAGGGACTGCATGTGGCACACTGGCCATGCCGCACCCACACGCATCACCCACTACCCGCTGCTGGGAAATAGCTGTATTGCAAGGAATCTGTGAGCGTGCCAACTTTTCGCGCTGGTTGGGTTGCTGTGGAAGTTGCGGCCGGTTGTGTGCAGCGAGCAGTCCAAACAATAGTTGTAGAGCAAGCCTGAGGATGAGGCTTGGACCGCTGGCACCGCCTGCTGATGCGTAGCTTCGTGTGTATGCTGATATACTTTTACAGCTCCCGTGTGGTGCACATGGTCTGTCGCTTTTTTGTCTCCCAGCATCGGATTCTGTCGTCTGCCCCTCTGGCCCCTATCCTCCACTTCTACTGGCTATACGACCCAACCGGGGTCACATAGGAAGGGGGAGCTGGACCCCCTCCTGCGGTTCCTGCCTGAGGTATTTTTATCGCGAGAAGGGTACAGCAATCCCTTCCCTCGCGACTTACGAAGTCGATTAGTCGCTGTACCTGGTTGGGTCACCACGTCACCTCGCGGCAGCGATTCGGCCGCATTTGGGTGTTGCCGAACTTCCATGTGGCAAAATTGCGTTGAAACGAACAAGCCCTTATTGGCCAAAAACCCAATTAGGTCCATCCAATTTAGGTCCTCAATTTAGGTGCAACTAAAAAACGTTGGAAGAGGCCCTGACGAGGGTCGAAATGTTCTGTTTCGAACCAACCGGGATTTGGTCATGCGAGAGAAACTACTGCTGTGCGACAGCACATGTGTCTGACTCGATCAAGAAGGCGGAGAAACCACGATCCGAACATGTTATTCGGAAAACAGCGACCCGATAGCAACCGCACGTAGAGGGAACGGGCCTTCTCGGCATCGAGCAAGCCACGACGGGGGTCTGTTCGGAACGGCAGTGGGCCTGCGCTCTGGCTACTGGCTCGGCCTGCTGTCTGTCACATGTCACAAACAATGCACCAACCGCAGCAGCCTACAAGGACAAGCGGTTTACATCTCGCGTTCCCGCTGCTGTGTTTGCTTCTCTCACCTTCCCAGGGACGATCTCCTTCATTAGCGTCTTCCTCCTCTGGTACGGTGCGATTGGAAGAACATACCACAGCGGCCAGTTGACGCTCCTTGGCCCAGTAGAAGCAGCAGGCCTACCCCCCGTTTCAGCTGTTGTCGACGCAGCCATTTTCGTCAGCCTCTGCTGACTTGGTCGCAGTCGCAGACTGCTCAACCTCCTATTACCCTCCTCGAACCGTCCGCCCCGCCCTCTAGCAGCATCATATCCCGATGCCCATGAGGCCCGAAGAGAGGATAGACCCGCAGACTTGTACGTCTTCGGTGACCCGTGACTCTGTGCTGCTTGGATCGCCTGACGGCATGTTGGAGATGCTGTAAAGGCCCCGCACAGATACAGCTGACCTGAAACCAGCAACCAAAGCAGACCCCTGGGCGACATATTCGCACCCACCTTTAGTTCCAATTGGCTAACATACACACACACCTGCACTGCCAGCACCCTTCCCTCTGTCTCTGTCTGTCTCGCTGTCTCTCGGTGGTAAATAACACAAGCTGCCCCAACGTTGTCAAGGGGGGGTCCGCAAAGGGCACTGCGATATGATGAGATCTAGGCAAGGGGCTCCGTAGAACGGAGGGGAACCTCCGAGCCAGGACACACCGCACCCGGCGCACTCAGCCTTCTCGTCTAGCCCGGCTGCCACTCCAGGGGTAAAGCCATGTCCTTTGGTGCCATGAATGCGGTCAAGGCGGACTATGCCCTGCCAAGCCCTCCGAGCGATGGCGTCAGCGACATCACCTTCAGTCCCACAGGGAATTTGATCACAGCAGGCTCTTGGGACAACGGAGTGAGTGTGCGAGTGGAGTCGTTGCAGTGCCGTCGATACATGTACTCTGGTTACAGCAGTAGCTCACCCTTTACTTGCCCAGCATGTATATTTTGTCGATCGCTGCATCTCGTGCGCTCTCTTGCCTGTCTAAGCAGATCTTTCAATTTTATATTGGAAAAGGTGTTCCCGCAGCAGCACCACCGTCACCCCTGCTAAATTTGAAAGTTTGCACTACAATAACTCTAAGTTTAGACTACACATGCCAGAGTACCTGTTGAGCAAAGCTCTCGCTCACCGTTCGAGCGCGCCGCCAGAAACAACAGCCAGCAGCATGACAGGCATTCGTTGCCTATTTTCCTTCTTCAACAAAAGATACGAGCTGGGCAGCGTGTGTGTAAATTCTGCGCTACGACGCTTTTTCACATCTCTGGTTGTTACACGACACCCCTCAGCGGTAGCAGCTTCTATGGATTGTCGTTGTACATCCTCGGGTTGGTGATCGGGGAGAGATGTCCCTGCAGGCAGAAAAGTGCAGCGACATACGCATCCCATAGTCAAAATGTACGGGATATTAGCTGCTTGATTTTTATATTAATAGGGTACAGCGTCTGTGAGATCGCCGCACGAACCTAAGAGGCTTGATGACGGTGCTGCGTTGCCGCAGCGGATGCAGTGGCAGATAAAAGTAACGTATGTGACACAAGACAACACACCCCCTGGACCGATTTTCAAAGCTCGATTACTCCACGACGAAGAGGATGCATAAACGATACGATACGTTTTCGAAAAGCTCTCGACAAGGCGGTTTCAACGCCGCCGTTTTCGGCGCTGTGACTGTTCCCGCAGTTGAGAAATCGAGCTTCGAAAATTGGTCAAGGGGGTGTGTTATCTTGTGTCATATACGGTAGGTCGCTTGCCACTCGCTACGGGGTTTCCTCACCGTCAGGCTGTCGTCAACAGTAGCGTCCTGATATAGATGTGGATACGCTGTGATACTACGCTGCTGTATTTAATCGGCGTCTCGCACCTATACTTGACAAGGAGAGGAGGTGGACTTGTGGTAAAGGGTGAAGGAAGGCGTGTGGGTTTTGGCTGTGTGCGGGATGGGTCTCTGAGAGGGGACCCAAACGTGTCGGCTTGATGTAAAAAAAGCCCGTGACCCCAAGGGAAGCGAAGTTGTTCGTTGTGTTTTTTTTTTTTTCTTGATAATATGGTCCAACGAATCCGTCTCCATCTAAGAAAAGAGTCTAAGCTAGATTAGCAATGATTTCGTAGCGTCAGAGAGAGCTACCTGTGTTTCCACGGTTTCCCGAGCGGCACACAGCGATATATCCCCTGTTGGTAACAGGCTCAACAAGACAGTTTGGTGGCCGTCTTGTGTTTTTTCAAGTACGGATGCGGGAGAAACATGACCTTGTGAATTGTGTCGTGTTTGTTGAAGGACGGTTGTGGGGAAAGCATTGTCCTTGCCTACCGTGTGCTATTCAATACGCATCACCAACAAACCGCCTCCTCTTGCGCGGGGACGGACTCTGCGAATCAGGTGCGAGTATGGGAGCTGCAACGCGGCTACGGCACGCAGTCGATTACGGCGGTGCCCAAGGCACAGATTAACCACGACGCGCCGGTCCTGTGCACAGACTTCTCCGCTGACGGCACCAAGGTTTTTTCGGGGGGCGCCAGCAAGCAGGCAAGAGCTCTGCGGATAGTTTTTAGTCTGTGGCGGCGGTCTGCCAACCACATCAACGACGTTGTCGATATTTCCTCCTAGGTGTGAACAGGAGGCAGAGGACAGACAATGGACTTGAGGATCTGTTGCCGTCCTATAGTTTTAGTTTTCGGGCACGCGGAGCACTAGAATTTGTATGATAGCATGAACGTGGTGACCTTCCCGCAAAGCATTGTCTTGTCTTTTGGGCTTACCCCTCCCGGCGTGAACTGGCTGGCTTGACGCACCTCCCTTGTCACGCGAAAAAAACTGCCAACACGGTTGCGACCGAAAGCTGAAGTGCGTAGCACACGGCATCCTCGAAATACGCTCTTTGCTTGTTGTCGTGCCTGCTGCTCTGTTAAGTACGAATAGGACGGAAAGCACGCGCTGTAGTATCTGAAGGTATCGCATGCGTTTTTCTATTGTGCAGGTTAACATGTGGTCATTGGGTCAGCCGGGAACGACGGGGCAACAGATCGGCGTGCACGACGCGGCAGTAAAGACTGTTCGCTTCATCCCTGAGATGAACCTCGTTGCGAGCGCTTCTTGGTGAGGACCTGTTCGTTTTCGGACCCGGCACTATCGTGTGTTGCAACACTCAATCGGTCTATGCTACTCTCTTTTCAGTTTCTGTGATGTGATGTCTCCGTGCCTGGTCGTGCGTATTGGCCCGTTTGGCAGTCGGTGTTTTCTCGTCAGCTCCATGTGTTCGTGTCTTTGCACGTGTGACCGTGGATGCTTTTTGTACAGCGGTAGGGTTGCGATCTGCCAAGTTTTGCCCCTTTCGTGTTTCTTTTGTGCTTTATTTTGGTGCGTGGTACACCGTACAGCAGCCCGCAGAGCTACGTGATGTGGTTTGTTGTTGAAAGCATATCTCAATTCGTCGTGCGTGCTCACATCCTGCGGCAGTCGCAAGTCCTCTCGGTGGTGTTCGGTGTTGTCATGTTGTCATGTATTTGCGGCCATGGTTCGTTGTCAGTATCTTTGAGCGTGATGTATTATGACAGCAATGTTGGTGACGGCTGTACTGTCCTGCAGTCGGTTGGCCTCCCACGTCTTCTGAAGCGCACATGTTGATATTTTTGTCCGGCATTCCTGCCATCTTGGGGAGAAAGTTGTAGTGACATGCATGGATAGGTGTTGTTGATATAGAAGTATATATATTTTTTTATTTATCATGTAGATGGTGTTGTGGCCGGTTCGTTTTACGTCCGAAAATAAGATGATGCGTTGTCGCAAACATGTGGTATGCGGCACTCATCTCTCAGACATGAGAAAACAAAGGTGGCGAGGGGAGCGACCCTCCTCGAAAGGAAAGCGTCAGTTTCATCCGAACATTCAAACCCCACGACCTATTTTGTTTGTCAACCGAAAATCAAACCATGTAGAGGCCAATCAGCACTGACTGACCAGCTGGTTTGATTTTGGTTGCTACAGATGTCAGCAACGTTAGCGTGATGTCACACCGCCTGCACCTCCACGAACCAAAACGCCGCCGCTCTGTGTTGGAACTCCTTGTCAGACACGTTTTATCGTACAAGTCCTTTCAAACACGGTGTCTCTCGCAACTCATTTCAAACAACCAGCACTTTCGACGCGTGCACCCCTTGCTTTTCTTACCCAAACACACCAGTCTCTCTCCTAGAAAGCTCATGTCAACCTCTGACTTTTTCTTGTGTGTCCCCTCGATGCACATATGTATGTATGCTACTTTATGCCAGGGATCGTACCGTCAAGTTTTGGGACACTCGAACGTCGACCCCCGCCGCCGTCGTGACTCTCTGCGAGAGGGCCTACTCCATGGACACGAGGGGAGCCATGATGGTGGTCGCCACTGCTGACCGGAAGGTGGGTCCGCGGAAACAAATCAAACCGAACCTGGTACAACCGTGTGTCATTTCCGTTTCAACTTGGTGTCTGGTGTCTCCAAGGTTGGAATCGATTTTCTCCCATTTTGTATTGTTCCTTTGCGTTTTTTTTTTTTTGCCATTCGCTTGTCTTTGACGTGTTCAGCAGTGAAGCTTTCTGCGCCTTGGCACGTAGCCGTCTGACGCTCTCTCTCTCCCTCCACCGCACCTTACCTCGTTGCTGCTCCTTTTCCTCGGGGTACCCACCACCCATGGCAGATTTGCGTGTACAACCTGGGGAGCTGGAGCACCAACGGCCCGGCCCCGCAAACGATGACCGACTCCCCTCTAAGATATCAAACCAGGTTGGTTCGATGGCTCGGTGGTTCTATGGCAGCCGTTCTTTAATCGTCGAGTGTGGCGTCGTGGCTTCGAGCGCCCTTGCTGTCACACTCTCACCAACACACAACACTGCATGGCATTATTTCGTTCCGGAGACCAACTGCCCCACTCGAACGGCCATTAAAACCATCATCGCTTTAGAGTTGCAGGCGCGATATCGGTGTGTTGTGTTGACCGTATCACGTCGATACCCTCATCGGCTCGGGTGGTGGTGACCCCAAACGTTAACGTTGCATTTTTTTTTTTTGCCGTTTTCCGGGCGCGATTCAGGTGCGTGTCTATCTTCCCAGACCAGCAGGGGTTCGCCGTAGGCTCCATCGAGGGGCGAGTGGGCATCGAGTACTTCAGCGAGCAGGCTGCCAAGCAGCAAGCGGCTTCGGGCTACAAGCCTGCCACCACCTACGGGAACACCAAACTCAGCTTCGCCTTCAAGTGCCACCGAGTCACGGTGCGATGGGATATGATGAGGAAAGCGAGAGACGGCGTTCTTGCTGCATGCCACACGTGTTCGATCTTTCTACATACCTACTGTAGCGCAATCCTTTAGAGGCATGCTTCGGCGGAGAATGGCAGAGTGTAGGACGATGTTTGATTGTTAAAATGGGCATCCGCTGGTTGTATCCCTCTCTTCTATCGTGTAGAGAGTGTGGACATGGACAATTATTTTTCGCACCATACCGTAGCAGCGCCCGGCCGCTGCGTCTTGCGCGCTTGCCATTTGCAGCTCGAGATGTCCTGCGTGTGTCACGGCAG